ATATGAGAATTTCCATTTGAGGGAGGAACAGAGTGCATTTGCACAGTTCCATTATGGGTGTTTTTTTTTCAACACACAGATTCTCTCATTTCCCATTCTTTAGCCTTAACCATTAAAGTAAACCATCTGCTTTGGAAATGCAACTCCAATGTAACTCTTTCTACTATTTTGCTTAACTTATTTTTAGAGGCTGAAAATATTCAGTTGTAATTTGCTTTATAGAATTCTTTGTCACTGTGGGACCAGAAAAAGATCACAGGAATTTCTCCCATCTTCAATTTTAAAATATTTTAAAATGTTATTATAAAGACTATTTATCAATATTTAATTTTTGCTTTCTGTGTAACTTTATTAAATCTGTACTTTAAAACAGGCATTACCTAGCAGGCTTTCAGTTCAATTATGGCAGTTTCTTTTCAGCAGGCTAATTTTCCTGTAGGACTAGACAAGGAAAGTAACTTAGGAAATTGATTTTTCCACATTGTTGCAGTGTAGGAGTGGTATTCCCCAGTTTTGCGCTCACACTGATACAGCTCAGACCATGTGCCACTCACTGACTTCCCCACCATTTTTCCTGTGGCAGGAGGAGAGAAGAGCACAAGTAGGTAAAGATCACAGGTTGAGATAAGAACAATTTACTGGAAACAGCAGAGACAAAACCCCACAAATGGTAATAACAACACTAAAAGGAGAGTGTACAAGAGGTGAACGAATCACACGTGATTGTTCACCATACAGAACTTGGCACACCCCACGATTTACGGCACACCAGCGGAGGAAGAACAAACCCCTTCCATTTCCCCGTGCCACGTGGCAGGTGATATCCAGTTACCCCAAGGTCCTGGCCATGCTCCTCCTGGCTGCTGCAAAAATTACCCCGTCCTGGCCGGATCCAGGACATGGGATCTGCCCTGCGGGTCCTGGCTCTTCCTCTGGGTGAGAGCCCCCCATGGCATCTGCCTGGCAAAAGGGACTTCAGGACAACCTATTACTTATGGACATTCCCCCTTCGGCCCCTGTCCCAGCTCCCTTTTTGCCTCCAGAAAACTTTGAACAGAAGTAGAACTTAGGTACAGTTCTGCAAATTCTGAACTGGCAGGGAGATGACCCACATGTCACTCTAGGCACATGTGCAGCAAGGACAAATAAAGTTTTTGAGGGGCCCGGGTCTCAAGGTCTATTGTTCCAGGAGTACCACCTGTTACTTTCAGATTCTGCTCAGGGATAACCAGTGACATTTTTTTTTGTTCTACACAAGACATAACCATGTGTGGCACATCAGCTGTCACTTTTTCCCCCATTTCTTTTCAAGTATATTCTATCAATCAGGACCATGGTAGCCCCTGCTCTGAGGTGCATTGGCCATCCCTGTAGTACATTGTTTGGTTGTTTTTGAGAGATAGGCTCAAAATACGACAGGGTTACTTCCTTCATTCCCATTCTTTGAGCTAAAGATGGAGTTACTGTGCAAGGCAAAGGCACTCATGTATGAACAGTGCAAAGGGGTCAGTCAAATCTGGTAACTCCAGAGCAGGGGTTGTCATCAATAACCTCTAAAATATATAGAAAGGCTGCTGGACATTCTGGAGTCCAGTGTAGCACCTCCATGGATTCCTTTCATGATTCATACACAGGCTTTTCCAATAGTTCATAACTGGGGATCCGTCATCAACCCCATCCAGTCATTCCCAAAAAGGGACAGAGATGTGGGCTCTGGTGTTTGAAAAATTGCTTCCTCCCTTTCTTTCCCCAAACTGCACTGTCCTTGTGAGTGGGGCAGCCAGGAGATCAGACCTGGGTAGATATAGACATGGTCTTGAAAACAAATACAAGATGTCATTGAAAATGTGCTCTGGATGGTAATATTCAACACATTCTCAACTACATGCTCTTATTCTCTCCTTGTAATGACTGGACAACACTTATTTTTGGTGGCAGCTGACTTAAATCAGGGATAATCTTGGGCAGGGGGAAAACGACAATAAAACCATCATAAACTGAGTATAAAATGTTTATCTACATGTGTCAGTAACTTCAATGGCCAGCTGCAGTCAGCACAAATATCAGTCGGTAATTGTGCTCAGGGCCAGTGTGGGCCTTTCCATGTCAGCTCCTCCTGCACAGCACATGGGGGCCTGGGCATGCTGCTGGCTTGTTTCCTTTTAGGAGACTGGGATGAGGAAAGGTCAGGGGGTTTTGTCAAAGAGATGATATTTGAGTGACTGTGTATGTGCTGGAAGCCTCACAGACTGACTGGCCCATGACAGGATGGCCCAGTGCTGGGGGGCTGCACCTTGCTGCCCTCGTTAGGGGTGTTAAGCTGCTCCTTTGCCTCAGGGAGAGCCAAGTGCAGCACTTTTGTTCAGAAACACTTCATTAGCCCTGGTTTGCAAAGCTACTGCAGCAACTGGGGTGGCCAGAGCACCCCTTTCTGCACTTGGAAATGAGCTGAGTCAGTCATGGTATAAGGCAGGGCATTCCCCACATTGTGAACTCCCTGTGCCCCAACTGTGTCGCGTCCCGCTCCTCAGTGACATCCCACCCAGCCTGGAACATGGAACTCCCCGTTTCCAAGGACACGTGGCCATTGTCACCAGCACATAGCAGGACCGCTCAGACCCTTTGGCATCTGCGTTGAGAGTGGAGGTGTCAGAGCGAGAGCGAGTGTTGTTCCAGTTTAGCTGGTTCTAGCACACGTTGGTCAAGAGGCTGATCCACACACTGAGTGGAGGTAATTATTTACAGTTCTGTGCAGAAATGGGAGGCTCAGGGACAAATTCACAAATCCAGCACCCCAAGAAGTAGAGTGTCTTAGTATTTCTACATTTTAGCAAAAAAAGGAATTAGTGTTCATTGACTGCAAGTTCCCTAGTTCTCTTCATAATTAGTATTCTGTCTGCTGTTGGGTAATGATCCTCTCACTTCTCATGTTCATTAGTCTGCATGCTCAGTCTCTCCCTACTTTTATGTCAATGGCTTCCGGAGCGCATGGCCATGGTCTGCCCCTGCTGGAATGGCCTTTTACCTCACAGGAGGTGATTCAGCGCAGTTTCTGTATTGGCTTTATCAGTTTGTTCCTTTCCTTGGGGGTTCTGCCAAATGTCCTTGTGCCCCTAAATTCTGCATTCTTTGTGCCCACCATCAGTGGTACATCCTTCTTCCCAAGCCTTGCTAACCTCCCCGGTGTCTGAGGTAGCTGAAGCCTGTCAAGCCCTGCACCCCAACAAGGCAATCCAGCCAAGAAGTAACCTGCCTTTCAAAGGCCTGGCCATCACTCGTTGGCTACTTCTTGTTTCATGGGAATAATCTCCCTTCTTGTTGAAGGGCCTTGAAAGTCACAAAGGACAAACATCAAAGAACACATTTTCCTAACAAATACTTTGCATTTTGCAGATTCTTCAGCAGGACCAGTGGCTGTGTGGGAGCCGGAGCACCCGAGGCAGAGCAGGATGGCGGAGCTGTGGGCCTGGGCACGATCCAGAGCGTTCCACAGGGCCCCAGTCTGCACTGCGTCCCGCAGGGCCCCCAACAGCCCTGCCATGCCCGTCAGGGTGACCCAGAGGTCCCAGGACCAAGAGGTGAGGGGCAGGTGTCGGGCTCTGTGGGCTGCCAGCGGGTGGGGGCTTGGCCATGGTGTTGGTGTCAGGTGCTGCTGACCCCGCGGGACCTGTTGGGGAGGGCTGGGGCCCCACTGGTGCTCCAAGGGCCCCTTTGAGGCAGCTGCCCGGGGGGAAGCCACTCACAGGGATGACACGGAAGAGGTGCCAGAGGAAGTGGGAAGTTCTCTGATGGATGTGTTTCTCAGGGATTGCACTGAGGAGGTGCCAGTGAAAGTCAGATGTTCTCAATGCTGGGACACTCAAGAAATTCATGCTCTGGCCATGGCTCTTGGTCAAAATGCATGGATTTCTCATTGTTCCATGTTTGCACTGCACTCACCAAACATGTCAGGATAAAGGAAACTCTCTACCAGTATTTTTTAGTTTTAGTATTTAGTATTTATTCTCAGCTGGGATGCATAGTGGAGAACTCCAGCCACATGCACACCATTTTCAAAGTTTTTCCAAACAAAGAAATTTCAGCATTTTTAGCAAAAAAACCCAATTAATCTTCACTGGTTCTAAATTACATAATTTCTTCAATTAAGTAATATTCTATCTTCTCTTTGGTATTGATGTCTCCCTTCTCATGGTAATTAATTCACATCTTTCAGTCCATTTATCATAGCTTTTTAGATTTTATCTCAGACAATTTTGCCTACAGAATGAAGCAGTTGGATGGCAGTATTTTTTTTTTTCGTTAAAAAATGTACTTAGGCTGATGAACATTTTAGTGATTTTTAACCTCCCGCAGAATGTGATACATTCTGTATTAAATTATGAGAACAGACAAGCAACCCAAATTTTGTTATATCTGATTAACCTCGGATAAACTGCTTCCATTTCACAGCTGCAAAGAATTACATCTAGAGCTGAGGGCAAGAGAAAGGGCTTTCATGCCTGTTGAGAGTCAAAATTCACCTTATGCAGATGAAATTCTTCTTGAAGCTGACTCCAAGATGTGCTTCCTTAGTACCAAATAAATCCCAGCATCAGGTCTTGTCCAAAATTCTTATATTTTTGTGAACCACTCTCACCTGGATTGTTAGCTGAACACTGGCCAGTTCAGTTGTACTCAGGCGCTTGATTTCAAGGGCAGCCTGTGCCTATAAATTCCAGCAATTGGGAAAGGATGACTTGCTACTTGAACGCTTGGCTGCGTTAGAGGCCAAGTGAGGGTTGCTCTCTCAGGGCAGTTTTGTAGCTGGCTGCTTGCAGAGGGAGAACTGTGTCAAAGCAGCCCTTTCTAGTGGTGTGACAGCAAACCTTTGCAAATACAGCTCTTGTTTAAAACAAAGGGCCTAATTAATCAGCAGTGATGGAGAGTAGGCTGAAGTTTTTACAGAAAATCTCTTTTTCCTTTTAGCCAAATGCCAGCGAGGCATTGCACAATGGAAGTGTGCAGAATGTCAACTTGTATAACCCAGCTGGAGGTATGATTGCCTTTCACATTTTGCTTGATGTCGGTAGGATTTTCAACTTGGTAATTAATTTTTGCAGCATATTCTTGGGACAGGGGATCTCTTGTGTTCAGAGATCTCAACTGGTGGTGGTATGCCCTCAGGTCAACCTTGCAGTCTCTTGTCACTGCATTTAGCCACTGGTTTGTTTTCCCCTGAGAAAACCTGCTAGTCCTTCCTTCTTTGCATACTGGTTGATGGGATGCAATTTGGAGCATTGAGGTCAAGGTTTGGACTACTCCATGCACCTAAATTCACTGCCTTGGTAGCTAAGCTTTTGGAGTATCTAGGCACTTTAAATTTAATTGGAAAACCCTGAGAAAGTTGCATAGAGAATTTCATAAGGTCAGCATGGTAAACTTTGCTTGATTTAATTTTTTCTCTTGGTCGTTAATAAGTGAGTGTTGCCGCAACACTGTGTTGGGTTCTTTTCAAGGGAATTGAAAGGAAGATATTGATGTCATCTTCCCCACGGATTCCATCATTTCCCACAAAGCACAAAGTGCTTAGGTGATGTCATTTGTTATTAATCTGTTCTCAATGCTGTTTCCCCAAGGAGCCTGGTTCCAGGCAGACTCGAGGTGCACATTCCCCTTACAGGCACTCAGTGGTGCTGCCTGCAGCAGTGAGCTGAGCCAGGTACAGCCAGCTGCCCTGAGAAAAGCAGGCTCTCACTGGGCTGTGGCTGCAGTCACCTGCCTGCAGGGACTTCCCTGCCACTGCAAGTGCAGCTCTTGCTCTGCCTTAGCCTACTGCAAAGCATTTTAAACTAGTGCCATGGTGGCTTTTTGCAGAGACAAAACTAAACTTCACATTTCTCATTGGGGACATTCTGTTTCGCATGTGAATGATGATTTGTGTGATTCTTGGTGGTGGTCTACACAGACCCTAAGGGAATATTTAGCATTCAGTAACTGGGGTGTGAGGACTGGCAGTAGTGAGACAATTGTGGAACTTGGTGCCGCTTTGGCTTTAGGCTGGCACAGAGAAACTCAGGTGAGACAGGTCTGGTTGCTGCTAGGGTACAGGGTGCCTTTGCAACATGCTCCATGCTGTACCAGTTAGGGACTGGGCTTTGTCACAGAATCAGAGAATCAGAATCAGACTTGGAAGGGATCCACAAGGATATGCAAGTGCAGCTCTGTCCCCAAGAATCCCACCACGTGCCTGTGGAACTTGTCCAAATGTTTTCTGAGCTCTAGTGGACTTGGTACCATGAGCAGTCTTGTTTGGCGCCTGTACCAATGCCTGATCACCCTCTGTCCTAGGGTAACTGTTATGGTGTTTGTATCTCCAATCATGTGTTCTGTTTATGTTTGATATTATGTTCCGTGCTTTCAGAACTGATTCTGAAAGTGAAGGTTTGTTTTGCGTTGTTATCATCTGTTTCACCTCCCCCCATGGTCTGCTGTCTAGAAAAGGCTAGGGCTGGCTGGCTGGCTTTTGCTTTGCTTGCTTGCTTGCTTGGCTTGCTTGCTTTGCCTGCTTTCTTGCTTTGCTTCCTAGTTAGGTTAGCTAAGCAGTCCAATTCTTTCCCTGGACTGTTGCTTTTTTCCTTTCCTCTTTCTGAATATCATCCAACCTGCTCTGGACTGGGATCTGGGAAACACCAAGGAACACCAGGAGCCTGCATTTTGTGATCTGCAGCAGCCATCCCCAGTGCTGGAGAGCAATCCCCAGCGTCCAGACCCGGGCAACCACTCCCAGGAAAGACCTTCTGGATTTGTTCAGCTCTTCAGAGGGGTGAAAGAGTTTTGTTGTCATCTAGTGTTGTTAATTGTTTTGGTGCTAGGGAGTGCTTTGTTTGTTGAATAAACAGGTTCTTTTCCACCTCTCTCAGAGGAAATTTTTCCCTGAACCAGGTGGGTGGGGAGGGGCCATAAGGGTTTATTTCCTGGGGGCTCCTTTCAGAGGGTTTTCCCCAAATTTGCCCTAAACTAAGGCTGAAGAACTCTTACCTAATTTCAATATTAAGGCTTGCTTATGGCTTCAGGTAATTTTCATTAGAAGTCATTCAGGGGTATGGTTTTAGGAGGTGTTTTGTTTGAATGCTGTGGGAAGTTTCTCTATCCACATTGGATTGAACTCCTCAAAACATTAGCGGTGTCTTCACTCGACAACTGGCATGTTTACAGTGCTCTAAATAATTGAAGCGTGTGATGTTTGTGCAATTAGGTTTGCAGACAAATATCAGAGAGGCATGGTCCAAGGAACAGGAAGTGGAGAAAGGCATTAAAAATTTGACCTACATTGAAAGACTGAAGGAGCGTGTCAAGAAAGGTCAGTCTCTGTGTGTGGAATGGAAGAGACAAAGCTCCCGGGTTTCTCACCAATATGCATCAAGTCTCCATCAGCCACTAAGCACGAGTTCCTGGTTTCAAAACAGTGCTTGCTGTGTCATATCCCCTCCCTTGACCTGCTGGCTACGCTTCACCTGATGCAGCCCAGGACACGGTTGCCTTTCTGGGCTGCCAGCACACGTTGCCAGCTCATGCCCAGCCTCTCATCCACCAGCACCCCCAAGTCCTCCCCACCTTCATCCCAGGCTCCTCATCCCATCCCAGCATCCATGCCCAGTTGGGATAGGGCATGTCCCAACCCCACAAATGCTGCGCTTTGCACTTGGCCTTGTTGAATCTGATGAGGTTCCCAGGGCCCTACTTGCCAAGGTTCTCCATGTCCCTCTGGATGGCATACCAGGCCTCTGGTGTTGTCAAACTTGCCAAAGAAGAATTTAATCCCCCTGTCCATATCATTCTTGACATAACTTAGTGCTTGAGCTTACAAACTGGAGAAATCATATGAAAACAACCATGCATATAAAGAGTTTTTCATAAATACCTCCCCTCCAGTATCACTCCTTCACACAGTATTTTTAATGACTGTTTCTTCCTAATGCTTTACTGTCTGGATTTGTACTGATCTATAAATTCTGAACAAATAGAGTTTCCACAGTCTCGGTACATCCTTTTGCATCAACTACCTTGCTTCCTCCCGCTCCCCATTTGACAATTCGTTTTCTGTTTTTTCTTTACTGAAGTGAAAATACCAGAGCTCAGGAGAGCCCCACACAGCTCTCCAGATCTTGTGCTTGAGAGGAAGAGAATGATGCCCATGAACCCTGCAAAATACATCCGGAGACTTTTCAGTCCTGTTTCTCAACGACCCATCAGAGACAGGGTGATTCATTTACTGGCTCTGAAGAATTACAAGAAGTCAGAGCTACTTACCTGCTTAGAGAGAGAGGGAGTTGTGGAAAAGGACAAGGAGTCCCTTGGAAAGATCCTTCAGGAGGTGAGATCCTGGAGCTGCTGCCAGCAATGCTAACTCTTAGCAGTCTTACTTCAGAGTTTCAATTAGAAACTAATGAGAGGCTTAGGAAATGCTCTTTGTTTGCATTTTCCCATCAACTTTACCCAGTTTCCACCCAACTGCAAGTCCATGTGACAAAAAGAAAGAAACCTTCAAAACTTTGGAGGCCTTGTTGTTGTTTTTCTAGAATAGCTGGCAATGATAAATTCTTTGTAATGTTGCTGCTTCTCATGCCTTATTTTAATCCTCCCTCTTTTCTTTGCACTGGTAAACTGCTTCATGAAGTAACTTCACAGGGTGAAACTCTCAACTGGGTGAAACACTTAGCTGAGGTCCATAGAATACCATGGGTCAAGTTTCAGAGGAGAGAATTTTGGTGGCTGCATAGGGCAGTATTTCATTTGAAGGGACTTGGTGGCCTCTTAATGGTATTTGCTTCTACTGGGGTCTGTGGGGATTGCCTTCCAGGGAAAGGTGTTCCAGGCAAATCCTACATGATAAAGATGGTGGCCCAACTTTAACACAGAGTTTCTTTGCTGTTGTGTGGATTGAGTCTTCGACTTCCTTGTCACCTATTATTTCTCATAATTTTCCAGTTGTCCTTTTAGCGCCACTGGTATTTCTTTATTACAGCCATTTATACGATTCACATGGACTGAAGGATGCAGTGGCTGTTTCCTTCCTTTTTCAATATTCCCCATCAATGTAGGCTGTTGCTGAATTATGCAAGCATTAACATATCAAGTAGCAATATTTCCTTTTTAGCTACAAAAAAGGTGATGATAAGATTTCAAAGCTCAACTCCTTAGAGGGTAAGAGATAAAAAAAATTTCTCCTTTCTGTTTGTTCTTGTTAATGTTTAAGGAGATTTTGGAGGAGTATTTTCTTGTTTGCAGTGTGAACTGCCTGGAGATACTGGTTTGCATTCTGAAAGGGCTGTGTGAACAGCACTACATCCTGAAAACTGTTATTCACATTTCTCTTAAGTTCATAGGGAGGTGGTGTTGTTTTTTGCTATACATGAAAAACCAGTAGGGAGAACTTGCTGAGCTCTTCTATTCACAGCCTTCCTTCTCTTCCACCACAGCCTGAGTTCTGCTTTTAAAAAGTGAATTCCTGATTCTGGGTATCTTTGTTCCTTTTAAGCTGTTGAAGTGTAGCTCTAGGTAGGTTATCTCCTATAAGTGTTCCATAGGAAGCTGTAGTTTCCTCTGAGCAGACACTTGAGAAAGAAAAGCAGTTCTGTTTGCAGAGACAAATGCCAACATCCTGTGGTGCTTCATGGGATGATGAAAACATGCCCCGTTACAGGTCCAGGCTGTGTTCTGCCATGGCAATGTAGCTGGGTGAAAAAAGAGGGCAGCAGGTGTCCTCCTGAGGGTGGAAAAATATGGACTTGCTCATGGAGATGATGTTCTTCAGGTCCTACTCCAAAGAAAAAGAAAACAGAAAGGAAAAACCTGGTCTCTCCATGTATTTCAAATGGTGAAGATTGAGAGTTCTGGCATAGTGTACCTTGATTCTCAAAGCTGCGTTAAAGACCAAAAAACCTGGATCCCTGGTGCAGGGAGAGGTTTTCATAGCGTCCATTTCCTCCATGCTTGTAGCAGTTTGGCATTTACTTACATCCAAATTTCTATGGCCCAAATCCACCACACCTGTTTAATATTGTTGCCTCTTACATGACAGCCGCTTTGTTCTTCACATCAAACAAAAGTCCTGGAAAACTGGTGCATGATTTTCTTTTCAGCTTTGCTTTAGCTTTGTACTACCAGTTTTACATCTGTAGTCTGCCTTTAGGTGCAAAGAATATTGATGTCTTAAATGTCTGCCCCTAGGTAGCCAACCTGGATGCAAATGAGAATTCTTTCAGTCTGAAGGAACATTTCTGTTACGGTGAGCTCCTGGACACCCTTTTGTCCCCCCTTTCCCAGGGCCTCTGTGGCTCTGATCATGATAACCCCTGGATCCTCCTTCCTGCCCCAATGGGGTTGGCGGGGAGCCAGGAGAGCCCACCCTGTCCAAAACCTATATAGACCCCTGAAACTTCCTGCTCTCTCTTTTTTGCCCCGCTCTCCATGGACACCACAGAATAAAGAGAGCTGTTCCAACACCCTGGGTAAGGAGCCTCTTCTGATTACCTTTCCCTCTCCATGCTATTTCCTCCCCTCACAGCCCCGTATTTCTGAGCTAGTCGGATTCATTCGGGGGGCTGTGTGGAGGGGGGGAAAACCAATAGAAATAACAGTTGGCGCCCCAACGTGTGCTGCTCTGAGCCCACGAAGAAGCTGGACCCCCTATTTCGGTGGGAGTCGAAAGCTCTTGGGACAGTCACCTGCCCTGGTACTCTAGCTGCCTTTAAAAGCTTTGAGTCACGGGGCACAGTCGGGGACCTCTGCCTGCGTACCCCGGGAGAGCCGACTGGAGAGGGAACCCCCAGAGAGGGTTTCACAGACGAATCCCGCAGTCACAGGCTTGATAAATTCTCCGACGCGGCACCCGGGACCGCGCCTGGCGGGGAGAGGTTACCATAAGGGACTGCGGGGGGCTGCTTGCGGGACGGTGAGCCAGGACCCGACTGCGAGTAAGCGGGAACCGGTGGGCTGCGCATACCCACGTTCCAGGGGGAATAGGCACGGGATGAGAGGGCTGAGACCGCCCCTCCCCCTGTGCCCCCCCGCTCGGGTTTTCCACGGCGGGAAATTCGAATCATTCGTGCTGTGTTATTAGCTCTGGTGGAGACTAGACCAGTGAAACAATTAAAAATCATGGGTACTAACATTTCACTGCAGCAGAAGAGTATACTAACACATCTTAGCAATAACTTAAACAATGTATCATTCCCTAAAAAGCTCCTCCTGCATTTTGTGTGCTGGCTACAGACAGAAATACCAAATTTTACTGTGCAAGACCTGAATTCGCTTGCTTTTTGGAATCAGATTGGACAGATATTAACTTTAAAAGTGGAAAATGGTGAACATAAAGTTTCTCGATTTATTCCGATATTTTTACAAGCACGGAAAAATATTTTAGAAGCAGAAGAAAGCATGCAAACGCAGAAACACAGTTCTAACACTCCCTTTTCCCCTTCCTGCCCACCTCCTGAATACCCCAGCCCTGAAAACCCCTCACCCACCCCTTATCTCGCTATAACACCTTGTTTTTCGGAGAGATACAGCCCGGAGTTTATCTTAAAGAGCTCCGCGGCATCTCTGGAACACACGCGGCCAGATCATGGCGGCGGCCATGTGGTTTCACCGGCGCGGGTCGCTCCAACCCCCACTCCCCCTCCCACTCGCATTCCTTTGCTTCCCCCGCCCTCCGCCACCCCCTCCGCCCCCACCCCCTCCTCCCTCCCCTCCTCCGACGCCTGCTTATCTCCCATAGCAACACTCCACCCTCCTTATCAGTGCCAGCCCCCGGGTTGCCCCGGGAACAGGGGCGGGGCCGGCCCCTGCACTGCTCCCAGCCCCAGCACTGACGACAGCAGGGCGGAGGCGGGGCACAGCAGCCCCGCAGCTCAGAGCCGGGGCGGGGCCCGAGTCTGCACCGCGGAGCAGACAGCCCGAGAGGGGGGGGGCGAGCTGCCCCTCACCGAGGTGGGGGGTGCGCGGGACGAACACAAGCCTGCCCCTATCGAGAAATCAATACCATCGGTAACTCCAGTGGTTTATTTAGGGAGAAGGAATGCTACAAGAACATACCAACCTCTCCCATACAGGGACAAAACAGAAATCTGTAAGGTTCAGAGGGAATTTGGGAGATCGAGTGAGATTTTTAAGGGTCTGATGAGGGCAACATTCAATTCAAAAGAAATGGTGCCGAAAGATATAACAGATTTGTTTAAATGTTTACTAACATCCTCTGAATATGAGATATGGGAAAGTAAGTGGAAATTGGCTTTGGAAACAGTGTTGCAAGAAATACAGCGTACACCCAGTGATGCCACCGACACGGATGGCCAGCCCCTTACAATACACCATTTGTGTGGGACAGGAGACATACAATGTCCAGAAAAACAAACCAGACTGTTATCTAGATCGGTTTTAGAAAAAATCTGTACTGCTGCAGAAAAGACACTGTATCAATTACCAGGCACTGAGGTTGAATGTAGCTATATTAATATCAAACAGTTTCCTTCTGAGAGTTTTTTGCAGTTTGTGGATCGTTTGAGAAGCCAAGTCGAAAAACAGGTGCAACACACCAGTGTGCAAACAGAGTTGATTAAAGAAATGGCCCAGAGGAATGCCAACGAGACCTGTCGTAGGATTCTTCTCAGCCTTCCTCTTGATCCAGCACCTACTCTTGGCCAGATGATCGAGGCCTGCGCTAAGAAAGCAGAGCTGCTTGATACTCCTGTCAGTCATAGAGCACCAGCAGACTTACAGCCTGTTGCCACTGCTACATCAAACCCCAGGAAGCCACCCAGATCATCACAACAGCTGCAGCAAATCATCTGCCTGCGTTGCAAGAAACCAGGACACTTTGCCAGGAACTGTCCTCAGAACCAGAACCAGAGACAGATCAACAAACAAAAAAACGAGATGCACAGCGCGTACCCACTGCTACGCGCAAAGATATAAATATAGTGGGACACAAATGTGATGATGCCTCTCTCTTAACAAATAAGGGGGAGGGTGGATACTATGATGGGGGGAGAGAGAAAAATAAGAATGTAAAATGTATTAGTAACAAGGTTTGGCAGCCACTGGGCCGGCCACGCTTAGTGACTGCCAAAGGATTTCATTTCAGAAACACTGATTGGAAAGTCATTGTGGTGGACCTATCAAAAAACCCTC